TGCCAGGCGTCCTGCTACGTGCCCAGCTCCTGCCAGGCGTCCTGCTATGTGCCCAGCTCCTGCCAGGCGTCCTGCCGCGTGCCTGTGAGCTGCAAGCCTGTTGTGTACCTGCCTGTGAGCTGCAAGCCTGTTGTGTGTGTGACCTCCTCCTGCCAGTCCTCCGGGTGCTGCCGGCCCTCCTGCCCCACCCTGGTCCTCAGGCCTGTTCCCTGCGGCACCCCTAACTGCGGCTAGCCCGTGGCCTCCTGGGACCCCTCCTCCGTGGGGCCAGAAGCAGCTGCTGTCTGAACTCCCGGCAGGCAGACCTCGTCCACCTGAGACCTTCTGACCTGACGAGACCATCTTACAGCAAAGCCGCCTGATCCCCACTAACCAAGCGGACAGAGTCACCCCCGGCGTCCCCCGACCCCAGCCCGGGTCGTCCACACGGCACCCACCCTGGCTGGTGCAAGCGCCCAGGCTCTGCAGCCGCCAGCACTGAGCTCTAATAAATCCCAGAGTGCATGTGAAGCCCACCCGAGCGTGTATGCTGTCTCTCCTTAGTGCTTTCCTCAAACTGCTTCCTCCAGGGCTCGCTCCCAGGCTTCTGGAAATCTCCTTCTGCAAAGAAGCCACAGGGGACCAGATGGCTGTGCCCGGGGGACTGACCACTCAAAGGCGGCCCCTTGGGCGTGTGGGCAGTCCTAGCTCAGCCCGACGGGCCCCCAGGGCTTCCTGTGTCCCTTGAACGTGAGGTCAGTTCTCACGCAGCTCTGGGCGGACCCAGGGTGACCCTCTGACTTTGTGAGGTTAAAAGTCCCCTGCTTGGCAATTACTATGCGAGCCCACCCCGGTCTAACCATTAAAACTGTCTGATCCATACAGAGTACAGCTCCTCCTGCAAACGTCCGGGGGCACAGGGCTTTGTGGGTAACTTCCGTGGGCCCCGGAGATGTCCGCGCCCCCATGCCCGGAATCAGCGACTGCAGCCCTACAGGCGAGGCGGCTTCCCAGACGGGGTGCACGGAGGGTCTCGCAATGGGAGACGCACTGGAGTAGCCGGGCGGGCCCGTGTCATCCCGGGGACAGGCGGGAGACGCGCAGAGAGGGCGTGGTCGTCGGCACAAGGAAGCCGAGGCACACTGGGGTGCCGGGGGGAAGCTGTTTGGGAACTGAGAAATAGTGTAAGAGGAACACCATCAAGGGGGGGTCCTTCCTGCAGCGGACACATATCTGGAAACTTCCCTTATCGTGAGGTCACGGGATAATAGAGGATGTGAAATTCAGGAGCGGCTCTCAGAGCACCGACCTTTCGCAGCCCTTCCTCGTCCTTGGTCCTGTTCGGACCCCACCGCCAGCCACTGTCCCACCGTCACAGGAGCTCAGTCGTTGCGTCAGGCCCTCGTCTTGCACACACCCTCCCTCCAGGACCCCGGGGCCATGGGCCCACCCACCAGGCAGCAGGGAGGCCCTCCCAGTGTCCTCAGTGATGCCTTGGAGGGGGCGACCGTTCTAGTCTCAGGCCCGATGGGTGACGGGGTGTCTGGGGTCGGGAGTTGCCCACAGACGGGCTCCCCCGAGATCTGGGGGGTCCCAGAACATGATGCACCGTGAACAGCGTTCAAGAAGCTTCCAACGGTAACGACAGCCATCACCTCCGACTCGTTCTCTCCTGGGTAGCGGTCCCCGCTGACGGTGTAGACGCTCTAGCTGGGAGTCGTCCCGCTGACGGTGTAGACGTTCTGTCTGAGAGCTGTCTGGCTGACCGTGTAGATGCCCCATCTGGGAGCAGTCTGGCTGATGGTGTAGAGATGCCCCATCTGGGAGCAGTCTAGTCCGGCTGACCGTGTAGATACCCCGAATGTGAGCAGTCTAGTCTGATTGACCATGTAGATGTCTATCTGGGAGCAGTCTGGCTATGTAGACGCACCGTCTGGGAGCAGTCTAGTCTGGCCGACCGTGTAGACGCCCTGTCTGGGAGCAGTCCACTGACCATGTAGATATTCCAGCTGGGACTAGTCCTACTGACTGTGTAGACGCCCCTCTGTGAGCAGTCTGGCTGACCATGTAGACACCCCATCTGGGAGCAGTCCAGCTGACCATGTAGATGCCCCAGCCAGGAGCACCTTGGCCTCAGGGTGGCCGGCCACGCCTTCTGCAGCTGTGACTGGCTTTCCCGGGGAGCCATCAGAAAGTCCTGGATGTTCTTGTGCCACGAGGCTGGGGTGGGGGCGGGGGCACGTCCTGCAGGGGCCCTGCCCCTCCCTCCCATGCACTATCCTGGCACCGTTGTGGGTTGTGGGTTGCTGGTTTCCACGTGAGTCAACATCCATGCACTGCACTCTTTTTGGTTCCCGATGAGGCGGAACTTCCTCACGTCTCTCACTCTGTGCTGTGAGGAATCCAATCTGCCCGTCTATCTGTGCAGACGGTAGAATTTTTCTTAAAATTCAAATGGACGAGGAATGGGCACAGGTTTTGAATAAATTTGGGGAAACTGAGGGATTTAGGAGTCAAGGCAGGTAACAATCCAGCCCCTTTCTCTTCACAGGCCCCTGAGGATTTTGCTCTGTCTTTGCTTCCCTGGGAGGGGGGTGGGGAGAGCCAGCCTCTGCGAAGAGGTACCTCTCGCTTCCGGCTGCCGGCCTCTGCTGTTCTGCTCTCGAGGGCCTCTTCCGTCTGTCCCTGGCACCAGGGACAAATAGGGAGCCTGATGCTGACCTGGTGGGTCTGGCCGGTGCTCCCTGACCCTCTCTAGTGCTAGTGGTCCACTGAGACTGCAGACTCATCCTCTTCCACTGTCCTGAGGATTTGTTCACAAGGCAGCGTTTTGCTCCCTGTCTCCTCAATCAGGCCTTGAAACCTGGAGCAGAATGCGTGATGCCTGAACCGACCCCTGCACCCCTCCTGGGGCCTGCGGGAATCTGCTGGTGCTTCAGAGCATCAGCCCTCGTGCCCAGACCAGCACGCAGGCGTTCCTGTGTGTGGACGCCTCTCTCCAAGGGCGTCAGCGAGGTGTTACTGGGCCCTCGGGTTCCCACCAGGTAGGGTCGTGCTGCCCCCAGCTCACCTTTAACCTGCACGGGCAGGGGGCCAGGCGTGGGCAGGGCCCAAGGCCCACTCAGGGCGCGAGGCTTCTGCAGCCACACTCACGTGCCGGGCCCAGCCCGGGGAAGGCCTGGCTCTTCCCCGGGAGGAAGGTGGGGCCGCGGGGTGGGAAGGGAAGTGGAGTATGCGGACAGCGTCCGCGTGCAGATCTCCTCTTTCGGGGGCTTTGAACTTGGACTTGGAGGCTACGTCTTTGTCGCTTGCTTCCACCAGGCAGAGCAAACGCTGCCCGCGTTGGCATGGTCTCTGGGCTCAGGGGAGAGGGAACAACACAGCCATCTCTGTTTCATGATCCAGACATTTTATTGATGATAGCAGTGGCCTTTGTCACCCGGAATGAGAGCAACCAGCCTGCAGGGGAGGGCTCCAGGGTGCAGCAGCCCCCCCACCCCCCCATTGAGAGACCTGTCTTTGCAGAAAGGGAAGCCGGGCATGTCCGGATCCCCGGGAGGCAGCAGCTGTGCGTCCACCGAGGGGCAGGGGCGTCCTGGCGCCCCCAGAGGGGTTCCGGGGCTCCTGAGAGAGGACGTCTGTGCTCTGGAGCAAAGATGGTAGCTCTAGAGGCAGAAGCTGGAGCCGGTCAGCAGCAGGGCTGGCCCAAGACAGGGCCGCAGCAGGCGGGGCGGGGGCACGCGGGGCGGCAGAGCAGGGATACACTGGAGGAGGGTTTGCAGCAGGGGCTGGGCTGGCAGCAGGAGGGGGCTGAGCAGGGGGAATCCTCGCAGCACACAGGGGTGTAGCACACGGGCTTGCAGCAGACAGGGGTGCAACAGGTGGGCCTGCACACGGGGCGGCAGAGCAGAGACACGCAGGAGGCCGGGCGGCAGCAGGAGGAGGCAGGGGCGCAGCAGGCAGGCCTGCACACGGGGCGGCAGAGCAGGGACACGCAGGAGGAGGGTCTGCAGCAGGGGCTGGGCTGGCAGCATGAAGAGGTTGTGCAGGAGGAGTCCTCACAGCACACAGGGGTGCAGCAGACAGGCTTGCAGCAGATAGGGGTGCAGCAGACAGGCTTACAGCACACAGGGGTGCAGCAGTCTTCCTGACAGGGGGAGGAGGTGCAGCAGGACGGCTGGCAGCATGAAGAGGTTGTGCAGGGGGAGTCCTCACAGCACACAGGGGTGCAGCAGACAGACTTGCAGCACACAAGGGTGCAGCAGACGGGCTTGCAGCACACAGGGGTGCAGCAGACAGGCTTACAGCACACAGGGGTGCAGCAGTCTTCCTGACAGGGGGAGGAGGTGCAGCAGGACGGCTGGCAGCATGAAGAGGTTGT